ACGAGGAGCGCGACCCGAAGCCATACTCTCCGATCGACCCGGGCCCACGCATGGGAGGGAGCCAACTCGCCTACCTGAATGTCGCAGAAGCAGCAAGAACAACGAAAAGAGCATGATCAACACCTTGATCATCCCGCTGCTGACATTGGCGAGCCAAAACCAACAGCAGAGGATCGCAGTGTTCAGATCTACTTCTTCAGCGGAAATTCTTGTACATCGAGTGAGAGACTCGATCTGGATGAAGATACAAGTCTTACTCGGAGAGCTTGGAAACTCACAGATAGATACTACTGATCGGAAATGAATACCCTAAGCCTTGAGGGGGTTAAATGCGCTCTGTCATCGGTTACGCCTTTTTTCACTTCGGCGCTTTTCACTCAACTCTTCTGTCCTTCCCCTATCTCCCGCCCACTCATTTGTGTACGCATTGCACGACAGCCCTCTGTCCCTCCTGCGCGTCCGAGGGCACGCTAAAGAACACTGGATCTCCACACTTCTTGTGACCTATCCCTCTTTGCCCGATTTAGGTGAAGTTTCTAACGTGAAAGCCAGTCTTAGCTTAATTTAGAATAGGTGCGCTTAGGAAGAGGAGAACGAATCTTATCCTGACAAGTTTTTTAAGTCGTTCTTTTACGGGCTTGAAGGAAGGCTAGTTATTTATGCTACAAAATAATCCCTAAAGGGACACTGTTTCCTACACTGAAGAGTTGACCTTCTAAACGATAGTTTAAAGGATGAGATGTTCTACTTGACTCGTACTACTACCTGACGCTGTGAAAAGATCAGCCCTACTGTAAGTTTTCAAGGAGTAAATACCTGGAAAGACAGCCTTGCATTCTACATAAAATCCTTCGTTGTTCAAATTTTATCGTAGAGTATCTATCATTTTTAAATCTAAGCTCAGGCGTCGTTTGACATGTTCTCCCAATGTAGTCTTCTTGACTTCATGGGTTGTACTATCTGATGCTGTGTTGACTCTTTTGACTGGCTCCTCAAGAGATGCTGCCGGATTCGATTCTTTGGCTGCTGGCTGATCTTTTTGTTGTTGTTTTTTTTTCTGGTCGTCATCTTTTCGCTGCTGTTCTTCTAACTTCTTAGCTTCTCTCTCGTTTTGGACTCGTATCCGTTCATCCTCCGGCAACTTTGCATCCATACATCTTTCATATTTTTGTTGAGGGTGCTTAGTACAGATCTGGAATTGACTTGCTTGCTCGTCCATACAAATAATGATCGGCTTCTGAACAAATCCACAGCCTCCACCCATAACTAAATATCGAATCATGGTATGGAACTTTGAAGAGCAGTTCAGTATGAAGTATCTCCCTCTTAGCTACGTAAGACGGGGTTGCGAGGAATGTGAGGATTTATAGATTGTTAGATCCTTTAATTTTAAAAAAAATGTTTTAAAGCCCTAGATCCGTTGAAGGGATGTATGAAAAGGCCTTGAAGGGTGTTTTACTGACCTGCATTTGCATTGTCGTGAAAAAAGACATGAAGACTTCGTGAACTGTGTTATTAGTGATCACTTTCATTGTCCCCCCGCCTTGCATCACGTCCCTAGAATTTAAGATAAATCGCCATGGCTTTCGATTCCCTCGGGTTGTCGTGTATGCGTGTCGCGGCTCGATAAAGCGGGCATCCTCTGACGTGAGAATAATCGTGTCGACCATGGGATCATTCTCGCGAATAATCTCACATAATTCCATGTAAGTGTTGAAATCTGGACAAGACGATTCACCCTGGTCATGTTTGGGCATTGTTTTGTGGGTGAGGGCCGTCAACTCAGTAAGCAATGAAATGTGAAACATTGCATGACGAGTTGTGCCCAAATTACTCGCATGCTTTGCTTCCGACGTACCGGTAGTCCGGATTCAAGATGATATTCTCCAATACATTTATCGGATGCACGGATGGGTAGCGATATCGTGCGACGAGGATCAAGATCACACGGGATGGTCTCACGTAATGTTTGCTCCACCTCTTGCTGGGTGCGGGTGTTGAGGCGCATCAGGTACAAAAATGCGCCAACTTCAAGTTCCTCGTGGCCATGAGGGTTGAAAAAATCGTCAAATCCTCTGGTGAAACAGCGGGAAGAATTTTCGTAAGACAGGATTTTGTATTGGGAAAGCTTGATTGCCAAGGCCTCTGAGAAAGAGTTTCTCGTATATGCATCTCAAAATTACTACTTACCGATAGGGCGGATAATGTCCAGAGGGCTTCCAATTATCTGTCTGGACCACCCTATGCGTGTCATTTTTCCAGTCGTTCCACTCTTTCTGAGCATTTGGATGACTCTCCAGGATAGGTAAGACATCAGTTTCGTAGGAGCAGTTGGTGATCGGCTCAAAATAGCAGGACCAGGTTTTGTTATTACATCCAGAATATGTAAAAAAATCTTTATCACGAATGAATACACGGTCGGATCGTATCGCGGCCATGAAAGGGCCTAAATAATAGCCGTGCATCATTGCTCCAAATCCCAGTCCGTTGTCGACAACCTTTTGCAATTGATAGTTCACCTTACTACAATCTGAAGGGTGTTGTTTTTTCCATAGATAACGCACGCGGTAATCCACGAGCTCATTTGAGACTAGCGAATTGTCTGCCGATCCCTCCCACCTAGGACAATCCATGGATTGGTATCCAAGATCTCTTGCTTTACATTTCATGTATTGTTCATTTATCCTGCTTGCACTCTCGTTGGTTGGCGTATTCGAGAAAATTGTCATGCTCTTGAATGAGAACGGCGGCGTTTGGGCGTGGGGAATGAGCAAACGACTAGCAATTCCTAATAAAAGTAGGCTACAAATAAGCATGGCCATGATTTTTTGTCTGAAAGATTTCTTTCTTATACAGAGTCTTGAGCCAACCAGATCCGAGGCTGATTGTCGTTTCCGTGGCATCATGGCGCTTTTCTTGTCTTTCCGCCAGGACGCGTGGAGTATATCTATTTTATTTGATATAGACAAAAAAGGCATGCATGATATATCAGACAAGAAGAGGCTGGTTGGTTGCATTTCTCTTTCTTGTGTCTTGTACTCAAAAGTCTCAAGCGTAGCACTTATGAGTTTCGAAGACGAAGTAGACTATCGAAAACCTGACGAAAGAACATCAAAAGACGTCATATAGACATTTGCTCATACATGTTTATACATATAGATATGTACACATATATGAGGTTTGGTATCGACAACCTGCTAAAATCTCACCAGGACATGTATCATATGCACACGTCTATATGAAGACATAGATGAAATCGACGACCTGATTTAAGCTCAGCAGGACATATTACGTAGATAACTTCTAAACAGGAATTATTCAGAGTCAGTATTTCAATTCTGCCACTCTTCTGTGGCTTACATACACGAATCATTTTTGCTGCCCGTCCGACGAGGACCCGTGCACTTAGATCCGTTACGCCAACTGCGGCCGTTATCCCTACTAGGGGTCACCAATGAGGATCACCACGCATCGGTCGACTCCTTCAATTAATGACGCTTGAGCTAGTAGGAGAGACCCGTCAAATGATGCGAACCCTTATCCTTCGATTGAAAAATGCGTTTTTGGTACTCTTGAATGCGTTTTTGCCCTGAGATCCGCCCCAAAGCGCCTGCAGTGTCCGTCCATTTCGCTGTAGGCTCCCCTTCGAACTCCCACAAACTTTTGGACAAGCCCGCTCGAGCGAGGCTGTGTCATTCGCATACATGAGTCATGCTGACCATCGTTTCATTGGCCGCCGTTCCTGAACAATCAAATATTATAAGGGGTCACGGACTTGCTGTAAATAACTCTAAAACGCCAGATCGCCCGGGTCGACCTCCAACCATAAATCGTCGACTCGACCCCCTCTTTCAACGTTGAATTTGATGTTAATATTGTTACAATTGAATGGGAAAACAGGAACTCGGTCATCAAGGTACGAGAGTCATTGCTAAGGTACAATTCGATCGACTGTCCAATGCATGTGCCGTGTTCCTCGGTCAACTTAGGTCGAAAGCCCATGTATGACAATGCCAGAGCACATTGACGTACTTCAACATCCGAATAAATGAAATTTCACGATGGGCCCTTGTAACATGTGTGCTAATTTCATTAAATCCACGTTAAATTGTTGAGCTCATTCCTCGGTGGAGAGGAACTCCTCCCAGTCCTTGTCACGACCCCTGACATATCTATGACCACTTGGACGCGTATAGTAGTAATAACAAACAAAGAAAGAGTAAGTTGCTATTAAGAACGAGCGTCCTTTCTAGGAGAGCGCTTTCTATGCTTGGTAAGGGAGTCCCCGTACCTTAATTCGGCCACCGGATACGCTCCCATGGTGGAGTACAGGTCCTCGTCCAGCCAATCGACGCACTTAGCGTGACGAATGTTAAAGATATACCATTACAGTTTATCATCGGTAAACTATCACGCATTGTATCCACTACGAAGTAGGCTGGTGCGCTTTACAAGCATTTTTCGAGACAGCCAACTTTTTGAGGAGGGAGAAGACACCTCAAAATTGAGCTCAGTATATTTCTTCAAAATACAAGCTTTAGCCAAAAACAGGTATAGAGTCGTCTTTCATAGCGCCACACTCTACGTGAGTAGAAAATTCATTTAAAACTGGCCAATAAAAGTAGATCTGGCTAAAAATCGGATCAATATTGATGTGGACGAAGAAAAACTCCGCGAAAGAGCCAAAGAGCTCGGTTGAAAGGCGTCCGAGCTTTGCTCGCGTAACCTTTTGCACGGACAATGCGCACCACGCTCGACAAACCACAAATTTGTCCTTTGCAGCGCGTGGAATATTAAAGAACTTGTTGTCTGCAGGCGAATGAAAATATAAAGACGCTATCAGGCTTTTTGCATGCTGTTAGGGTGATGAGCCTCATGAACTTGGCGTCCCGTGAGGGACAGGGAATCGGATACATTTCTTGTATGAAATGTCCTGTGGCGAAGAAGGCTCGTACCTCACGTATACATAGCTCACATCACCTCTTTAATTTTAACTTGGTCAGGTTTTGCAGGGCGCACGACCTTGATTAAATGATTGGAAAACGTCCACGCTCTTTCTCACTGTCGCTGCAACCTCCGCCTATCGCATCGAAGGAATTTAAATTCTCCGCCCCTCACTCTCCTGCCTCATCTGGAGCGGCCACCTCGATCGCACGCCAGAAGCTCGCAAAGGCCTTGGACTTGATATCTGGAGGGGAGGCTAAGGATACAGAAAGTGTTACGCAGTTATTGCGCGACTGTATTCACCGTGCCCGAATCTATTTTGATGACGAAAGTAAGACTGTAATTTCCACGGCAAGTACTGTTTTGGCCCGCCTGCACGAGATTCAACACAACGACCAGCGACGTTCCTCTCGAAAGCTTTATGAATCTGCGGTGCATGCAGACCAGGGCAACCTGGATGCCGCTTACGAGCTGGCTTGTATTCTCAAGCTGGACGCTGTAGGAAAGGAGGATTTAATGTATGTTGAGGAGCTTTTGCGACTGGCTAGTGGCGTAGATGAGAAGTGGGTGGGGGGAAGAACAGAGGAGGACCAGCGGAGAGGAAGGGCAAGCGACAATGAAGGACGAAGGGTCAGACATGAGAGCGAACGGGATACCGACATGGATGAGGGGGAGGCGCGAAAGGAAAGAGTAGATGCGAGGAGAGAAGGCACAATGTTTCCTGAAAGCCGCGAGGCCTTCGAAGAAGAAAGAGAGGGACTTGAAGCGAGCAACATTTGGGGTTATGACTCAGGAGGCGCCGTCGAAGCGTCCGATCAAGAGAGCCAGCCTTGCCAGCGGAAGGCCAAAGAGGCCCTTGCGCTCTTATGGATGCAAACCGGGACTCGAAGTCACAGAGCCAACCACGTCTTGCGGCAGCTCGGCTTCACCCACCGCTTGGCCTCCCGCGTCCTGGCCTACCCTCCCTCTCAATCGCTAGAGGCCTCAGATCCCGCCCCCCTCTCTCCTTCCGCTGGCAGCTTTCTCCGCGTATACGACCATGTACTGCCTCCCGCTGCCTTGCTAGCAATGCAGCGACTCTTCGGCCCACGCGCCCCTTTCTGGGAGGAGCACGGCTACTTTCGGCGCGACAGAGGGTACTTTTCCTACCTCCTCCCCTTGTCCTTGAAGAGTGTGGGCGACCCGACGTCATCCTCATCGTCCTCCCCTCTGCCCCCGAGTATGGCGGTCGAGGCCGTGGTCCGCGATCATCTGCTCCCTCTCGCGCGTGAGGCTTTCCCGCATCTCTTTTCATCGCCTGCCTGCTCTGCTCTGTCCTCTTGTTCCTCCGATTTGTCCCTGACAGCAGAATGGTGGGCGCACTGCCGGCGTCACGCAGAAGGCCACCAGCTTCATTTTGATTCTCTGGATGAGGGAAAGGGCTTCGTGCGGCATCCTCTGGTCTCTTGCGTGTTGTACCTCGCGGAAGCGGACGGGGTGGGGGGACCAACGCTGGTGACTGATCAGGTATGTCGACTTCAGGAGGGAAGAGCGGCTAGGGTTACAAGAGGGGAATAAGCATCCGATATTGTTTTTAAACGTCGAAGTCATGTATAACGCGAGAGTAATGTCCTCGAAAGGGTCATCGGTCAAGAGTGACGAACTAACTTCAAATTCTCGCCGCTGTATTCAGGCGCTCAGCGATGGTAAGCTGGCAAGAAAAGGCTGGCTTTGTCACGGACGAGAGAACCGAGTGTGCTTCTTCGACGCAAAGCGATTGCACGGAGTGGTGCCGGGGAGAGGGGTACCCCCTGAGGCAAAAGGGGAAGGGGAGGAGAAGAGAAGAAGAATAACGTTCATGGTCGGCTTTTGGAAGGGTCATATCCCATCGCGGCCGGCGCCGCCGCCGCAGAAACAAGAGTATACTGGCTGGGGCGATGATATGGCAAATAACACGGAGACAAGAAAAGGATTTCACAATGGAAAAGGCAGAGGGGAGGACGATGAAGAGAGTGAGCAGCCTTGCGCAAATATGACAGTTCCAGCGCTTTCCGCAGAAGGCGTACCCTGCCCACGTTGGTTACGGGATGCGTGGAGATTCGGAGAAACGCTGGAGGGAGTTAGGGGGAAAGGAAACGAGCAAAGGACCCCTGCGCGAGGAGGTTTGATTGCTCTCGATAGGGTGTGGGAGAAAGTCGGAAGTGATGACAACAAGGGCACGTGTACGATGGAAGGGGAGTCTCAGCCATTATATCAGGAATGTTTTCAAGGATTCTGACAAGTGAGAGGGGAGAAAGCCGAAAGAACTCTTCGCCAAGTCTGCCTTTTTTTTTCTGCTTTATCATTCCCCATTGCTCTCCCCTGCAAAGTGTCTCATAACAAATAAATGATTGATATAAATTTAAATACGTGGCAGCTAAAGATAAGAGATAAATAAAGAAGAAACGGAGTAGATCATCTCCAACCCTTTACACGACTTTTGGTGTGCTTAGAACAATTGACACGAACGCTTTTTTCCAGCCTTATCGACACAGTCGTCCATCCAGAAATCGCGTGTTGATATTGGCCTCCATCTCGAGTCATGAACCCACCACCGCCCGGCAATTGAGGAAATTTGCATTTGTTTGTTGGCACGGTTTGAGTATCGAGGCCTTTCTTGGCTCGGAATTCCGAAGACCCGGGTCATCGCCGAGGCCAGTGCAAGCCCTTCTCCTTCTGTGCGCTCGACGCTGAGTAACAGTGGCACTTCAAACAAGAACAGCCTTTCTAAATGCACGACTCGTGCGAGACCGGAATGAAGAATGCCCAATTGCTTCCCTGCTCTCGCAAAATTTGGCGAAATTGATAAAGTGTATACATGGATGGCCGCACGCGTTTTGTACAACCTACAAGTAGGCCTCACGGTCCACCTCCTCCACCCTTCCTCATCAACCATGTCTCGTGCACAGAGAAATATCACCTATTTCACTTTCTCGACAAGAGGTAATATCCCAGAATGACCGTAGAGACTGGCAGCCTGCGCAAAGGAACGAGGAGAAGAAGGCTTTATTTCTCTCAAGGGACCTCCGTGCCGCTTCTTCTGCTCTGTTCACGCTTAATCTCGATGTCCACCACCTTGACATGTGATGCAGCCTCACGTCCTTCATTACTCTCTTGCCAAGAAGATTTTTCTGCACGTCTGCCGTCTATTGGTCAACTGACAGCCCTTGGAGGGTGCGGCGTGTCTCGGTTTGGCATTGTGCACTTGTCGGCGCGCGCGTCTTCACCCCTTTCCCCCCCTGCCACCTCTTCCTTCACACACTCCTTCCCATCTCCTTACCCATCACCATCGTCATCGCCTGGCGCGTCTTCGATACCTGTTCCGTCTCCCTCATTCTCCTCATCCTGCTCCCCGGCATGGACTTCCCTCCCACCAGGCTTGCATCTCTTCTTCGAGTTCTCTCCCTCCCTCAAACATGCATCTAATACCTCAACTGCCGCACCTTCCTCCTTCACTTGTTTGTCGTTTGTACAGAATGCCTCGGTTCTTCCCCTCTTGAGCTTATTGACGGCCGACCAGAAGACATCTTCCTCCCTTCCCTTCTTCCAACAATGCGCGCGCGTCCCTACGGCCCTGCGACGCACTTTGCGGGGTAATATACTGATGTGGGAAGGTTCTGAAGTGGAAAATGGAAAGGAAAATCCGGAGGTGGAGGACTTGCTCTGGTACCACGTGGCAGAGGCCGTAGATTTGGAGGAGGATCGGCTGCTCCCCCTTCTCCTTCGGTCGGCCCCGCAGCGAGAAGAGGAGGAGGGTCCGGAGGGAGGCGCAGACCCAGGAACCGCTTCAATACTCGGCTACCTCTTAACCGGGTCCCTGCTCTCGTCCAATCTGCCCCCCTCCCCCGCCTTCGCTACAGACCCCTCCACCGCCTCTCTCCCTGTCCAGGCGAGGGTCTTGCGCTCTTCTTCCTCCTCCGACTCGTCTTCTTCTTCCCCACCCCCGCCCAGAATTTCGCTCTCCATAACTGCCCCCGGTCCGCCCGGCCTCCATCGCGAGATACGGTATTCCTACGCGAGTCTCCCTCTGCGGACTTCCTCCTCCCTCCTCGTGGTTTTCCACCTCCCCCAGGGAGCCTATGTGGACACGTACGAGCTTTCAGAGCGCCACACCGTCGTTCTCGAGCCTCCCTTTTCCCCATCCTCCCCGTTGTCTCCTTCCTCCTCCCCTCCCTGTTCCTCGCCCTCCCTTCTCACCGCCGCCGGACCTCTGGACGTGGAGCTGCCCTACTCCCACTCCGCCCAGCACTGCATCGCCTTCCTTCTCCCTTGCCCCACCCTGGTCCCCTCCTCCTCCCTCATCCTCTCACTCCCCTTGCATCTCCGCTACCCGCTTCCCTCCCTCAACGTCACCCACCCCTTTGTCTCCCTCTCCCCGCCCATCCCCTCGCTCTGGACTCGCCCCGTCCATCAGCTCGACCGGGACGACTGGCAACCTCTTCCCCCCCCCTTTCTTCTGGGCCCGGCTTTGTCCCTTCGCGTTCCAGCAGGCGAGGCCTGGAGGCGGGAGTATGTGGGATGGGTCACCCTTGTCGCTGAAGCGACTGGTGCCCTCCTGCTGCTTGTGGTGGGCATGGCGGGGAGCGCGAGGAGGGAGGGGAAGAGGATGGGTGAGGGGAAGAGGCAGCGGGACGAGGGGAGCAAACCAGCGGGTAAAAAGAGAGATTGAGAGCAGAGGCGAAAAAATTAAAAGGATGCCTGCAGCAGAGACGTAATTGTCCGGACTGATTCCTTTTTCGCTTGAAAAGATCGCCCCCTCCTTCGCTTCGGCGCCCGCCCCGATAGACGATCCTACCGCCATGAGCAACGTGTACTGGATCTGATGCACATTTCTCATCACGTCGTGCATCGAAAGCGACATAATTGTAGGCTTTTATATCTCACACGCCTTTCATATCGTGCGCGGTGTTCTGAGTCTCTGTTACATCGGGCTCGCCCGTGCGATTGCACGCAAAGAGGTATACATCATTTTAAAGGCACACTGTAGACGAACATAAGCAGCTCGTGTTATCAGAGTGCGGGCTTAGGGGTTGATAGCGGCCGCCGTCTCGCCACGGCAAGTGCTACCCATCCTATCATGAACGCTACCCCTCCAAAAGGCGCCCCCGACGAGAGTTGCCTGTTTCCTGTCCACGTTGCAGCGTACAAGCCCCCCGAGAAGAGGACTATGCCCGAGGAAAAAGAAAATCCTGCTAGGGCACGGAGCTTGCTGTGTGGCTGTGAGAGTAGAGGGGTCAGTAGGAGACCCAGACTGTGCAATTGCTGGTACGCGTTGGCCCGAGACCAGACCTCATGGGGGGAGGCCGTAGTCGATGCAGGAGGGATCTGTGCCTTTTCGAGCTCTTTCAAGCGAGATGCAAGCCCATGGGCGCCGTATGCCTATGTTCGTGTTGTTCAGGTACAAAAGGAGCCGTCAGGTTGACGACGGAAGTACAAAATTGAACTTCCCGTTTGTCACAACCTCCCCTCCCTCAAACCTATTTCTGGGATAAAATGCCGTTCCGATGCATCGATACCCACACACTCTCAAGTACACCATGCACAGCCCCCCATCTCACCCCTAGGCCCACAGATGTGGCCATCGAAATCCCTCCTAGAGCCTGAAAGACCATGTGTCCCACCTATGTGTGTGTCTGAGGCATTTCAGGTTGGGCTGGGAGTCGTCAGCTGGGCTCGCTGGGAGTCGTGAGGGTACACCTCCGAGAACTTTGTTCCGCGCCGAGATTTACTTATGTTCCACTGCCCCACGATTAGTCGTTTCGTCTTCATATTTCAAAAGGTTGTGCTACGATTGCGCCCTCCAAGCCCTCTTTTCGCGCACATCCTCTTCCCACGGCTGGGCGCCTTCTCGGCCTAGCCATCATCCTGGTTGTCATGTCTGCCCCTCAGGCATCCTCTTCCACTCCCACGGCCACTGCCTCCTTGGGCAATCCTTTCCGAGAGATGGCCGAAGCTCAGAAGCACGCGAACGAATCGTGCGCTAAAGCAGCAGAACCTTTGTCTTATTATTGGCTGAAGCAAGACAGCGTCAAATCAGGGAGAGGGTGGACGCCGTTCCGCAAACGTGACAACGCGGCCTTGGAAAAAGCCTTGACGGCTTTGGCCACAACAAGCCACGGTACAGACGCGGAAGTCCCTGTGTTGGTGGAGGGAGGACGGTACCAGGTTGATATCAGAGACCGTCAACTGCGTGCAGTGTATTGGGATAAGGACGTACGAAAGGTTCTGCGGGCTTCCTGGTTTAGCAAACCCGCGACGAGCCTTCCGGGCTCAGGCGGTTATGTTCCGTACGAAGAAAGTGACGCGGCTGCTATCGAAGAAATGTACCAAGCGGCCTTGGATGAAAGTGTACGATCGTTGTCGGCAGGCTCGTTTCTAGAGACCTCCCCTCGGGACGCAGAGGCAAGCGCTACCTCCTCCGCCTCAAAGGACGCAGCCGCTCTCAGTCGGTCGGCTTCGACCAGC